TATTTTTCCAAGATAAATAAATAAATGGTAAATCTTAGTGCATTAACGTTCTGTTCTGAAAATGAGCTCTAAATTACGAATAATAACTGTTGCTAGTGGAACAATAGAAACAACTTCTTTTAGTCTCTTCTCAACTACGAAAACTAATATTTAACCGTGCCTTAAAAAAAAAAATGTTCGTAGGGCGTTTTCTTCTGCAGCGACGCCCCTATATTTTGAATTACAGTCAGACAAACTAATCGCATAGTCTAGTAAAAGCGAACACTTTCAATTTATATTCAAAGATAAATAAATGCTAAATCCCAGCAACATTGATTAACGTTTTGTTTTGGAAAATTAGGTCTAAATTATGAACAGTAAAGTAATCGATCGCGGACGGAGCAGTAACAACGAGAGCAGCAGGAGTAACAGCAACCACAACGTGCCCATAACCATCAACCTCTAAGGCAATTGAAGCCACCACCATCAACGAAAACAATAACAGCAGGTGAGAACAGAAAACTAGATACATTTGAAAATTTGTAAATAAAATAAGTATAAACTAAATCTAGTTACCTTACTAAATCTATATATAAAAAAAAAGGAAATTTTGAAAAGAAATTCGAAGTCATCTGCTACTACTAAGACCGGAACCAAAAAAACCAACTAAGCATATAAAGCATTATAAAGATTCGGATAAAACCGGGGAAACATAAATTTTAACACAAAAGTATCGGAAAAAACCGTATTTTCACATATTATGAATACATTTTCTTCAGCTCTTAGCGTTCACGTTTACTCCCCAAACTCATTGTAACTTAGTTAACTCTAGGCGGAAGGGAGTGAACGAAAACACGGTTACGTTGTCTTGCATACCTACTATCAGATCGATAGTATTTGAATTTAAAGAATAAAAACTAGATAGATCTGAATTCAAGGAAAAAAGGTTAAGAGAAGAAAGAAGGAGAAAGGAAAACCCACTAAACAATCACACAAAAGGTTTGACTGTAGTTTCCAATTTAAAAAGGGAAATTGAAACTCAAAATACATAATTTTGTTCTTTTTCCTTTAATTTCGCTTTTCTTTTAACCTTGGTGAAAGCAATAATTCCAATATATAATTAAATCCGTTACTTTAAAATTTATATTACACCTATACATTTACAGTTTAAAATACCCCTAAAAAAAAAAAAAGGAAGGGAAAAGAAGGTATAACAAACAAAAAAAATAAATAAATAAATACAAGCATTGTCCCTTAGTAGTAAAAATTGTATATATAAACATAAAAAGGAAACATATATAGGCATAAACTACTAACCTCCATGGAAACTTGTACGGGCCAGGAAAAATACACCTAAAAAAAAAGGGCTGTAAACAAAAAAAGAACATAATAACAAAAAAAACAAAGAAAAAAAAGAATAAAGAAATAAATATTCAAAGCGCCCTAGGATATTATTAACTCTTTTTATTTCCCCTTATTACTAAAAGTCACACTCACCGACGAGCGCCGAAATCTTGCACGTACCAGTGACGACACCGCGGCCGAACAACAGAATGGCATCGGTATTCTACCCCAATATATCGGCATCAGTCAACAACGCCAGCGAAATGATTCAACTCGCCGCCCCGATCGGCGGAGCATACACAGTTTTCCCAACAGCAGCCAACACTATGCCCGTCATCGAAGTAGTCAGCAGATTGGGCCTTAACTTTATCGGCAATAGAGATTCGTTTACCTTCATCGGGCGAGGCGAATAAATACGGCGACGGCGTGCCGTCGATGTGCCAAGAACGAACACCACCAGTATAATTGCCCGAACCTTCAGGTCTTGCCTTGCTGGATCTGCGACGGACGAGGCGGAAGACCCATTAACTGCTGCCAACAGGGAGACAACCGTGACGTCCATCACCAGCGGGGAGATCCAAACAGATCCCGCGAAGAACGTGCTTCACAAAGCCCACAACGCGCAACGCTAGCAGATAGGTCCACTGTTAAACAAAGACCAAGTCCTACCCAGCCAAATCAACGAAACCATCCTACATCGACTCTCTACAACGAGACCTACGATATACCAAAGCAACGCCCTTCTTTTTCGCCGAAACTTATTAGTGGCAATCCATTCCTCAGCGAAGCCGTCCTAGAACCCCCACACCGCAGCATTAAGAAGCAAAGTCTTCAAATCCACCGAAATCTACGCTCGCCAGCCGACGAAGCTCGCATGGATATGAATGCACCCTCCGAGCCTACAACCAGTCGTCCTCAGCGAAGCCAACGGCGCCATGCCTCTTACTCCACCCAACATCTGGTAGAGTCGGTGTCCCCAGCGGCCTACGAGACCAGCCACAGCGATCGAGTTCAACGAGTTAATCTGGTAAAGTCGGACCCTACAGCGGCTTCGAGAGATCAGGAATAGTTATCAAGTTCAACGTGTCAACCTGGCAAAGTCGGGGTTCTAGCGGCCTACGAGACCAGCCACGTTCGCCCGAAGGATATCCTAGCGATCGATTTTGAAAAGGCAACGCCCATTATAAATTTTTATCCAACGCCAGGATTAGGTAAACAAATTGCGAGCCCTGTAGTAACCAATGTTGGCACACGACCCGTACCTACCGATCAACGATCCGACATTCCGATGTCGCAAAGCCAAAGGTACATGAGCACTGATATGACTCACCGTCAACAAGAGGCAGATACCACGTCCGATGGAACGGCATCCATCTTGGAACAACAATCAAGTTTGCCTCAACAGCAAATCATTATAACATAACAACAACTACAGTGAATTCAGCAACAACGACAACAACGACGATAGCTACCAGACCAACTAATCGGCCACTGCCCATGCGGCAAAAGCAATATGCACAGAAAAATGCTACCAAGAACTTTGACGGCTGGCCATCGGTTGGAACCGGCCATCTGACTTCAGGTATGCCTCCAGCAACAACAGAAAAGGGAACAGCAGGAAACATAAAAGTCACTGCTAGTGAAAAGAAAATTTCTTATGAAACAGAAGTTAAACAAATTCTTTCACATTCACCTATACCGATCGGTATGAAGGGAAATATCAACAACAGTAGTAATCAACTGCAGCAATAATCTACTTTGCATAATCAACCATAAGTGCAAGCGAACTTTATAAAGCATGCTCTACCTTCAACTGTGCCCCCCACCCTTAGCTTATAAAATCACTGACTTGATAGAAAAGTCCACAAATAAAGTTTTTGAACGGCAACAACAATGACGCAAAGCGTTAGATTACATAACTAATAATATAGTCAATGAATGTCATATACTGGTTCGGAAATTTCCTCCTGAAGATAAAGTGGCTGCGGATGACTTGAATCAAAACCATCATGATTAAAGCATGAAGAAGACGGTACGTTTACTTTGCAAATGCGTTCATCGCTGGATACCAACGATGAGTTGTTTGCTGATAGCAATGAACCGGCAGTGGAAGCCAAAATTAGTAAAGAACGAAGGTTGTATTGGTTCTCTTGCCGCAGCTGGTACCCTTGAAGCTCATTTAAACGCCTGCTAACATAGTTTTGCTTATTTAGACGCTTCTGTAGAAAATGTTACTTCCCCTAATCAGCAGCCAAGCCAGCAAGCCCAAACTCAACCGACGCAAATTATACATTATATGCGGTATCAATAATCAAATCCCAATACCACCATGCAGTATATTTTGACTCAACAACAAGAAACGCAGGAAGCTACGCAAACCCATCAGCAACAACGAACGCAACCGCAACAACAAACAGCGCCCCAGAACGAAAGTCTTTCGCTATCGAACGTTCGTAAGGTCATGAAATATCGCGCATTGAAGGAAATCTATAGAATGGGAGCAGTATCACCGTCAACTGCCGGGAGAATGGGCAGCCGAACGGTTCAGCCGGCGACGTATCCGTAGGCGCTGAGGAGACCCCGCCACATCGAAGCCTTTTCGCCAACAGGCCACCCCCCGGAAGGAGCGTCATCAGCCAACCGCCGAAGAACGGAGGATCTGTGAGCAATCAAAGACGTCCCCCGTTATGGCCTCACAGGTTCTTCGTCTTTGACGGGGAGTGCTAGAGTAAGTCAGGCTAAGAGAGTTAGGATTAAGTAAAGAGAAATTAGAGTAAAGAGAAATCAGAAGATGTTGAGGATAATTAGCTTTAGCCGAAGTTTAGTAGGTTTGTCAGTTCTAGAGCAAGCTAAGCTAAGAGTTAGGGTTAAGTAAAGAGAAATTAGAGTAAGGAGAAATCAGAAGAAGTTGAGGATAATTCGTTTAAGCTGAAGTTTAGTCAGGTTAGTACGTGCTAGAGTAAGTTAGAGAAAGGAGAGTTGGTCGCGGGATGAGTTAAAGAGTGGGCGCTTTGTTCTGGTTGGTGCGGTTAAAATGACGGTGGTGCTAGGTCTTTAACTTAAGAAAATTGAACTTATCTTTAAAGTAGAAAAAAGAAAAATTGTCAATATCAACGAAGAAATATCTGGAATACATTTTTCAAGAGGAATAACATTTTGACTAAATATAAAGAATCTGATATAAATCCGAATTGAGAAAATAAAGCCATGAAGTCTGTACGAAAGAAATTTCTTGTGAAAAAAAAACTTGGAGCAGCTAAATTACTCAGCACCAAGTTTTGGGCAAAAATAGCCCTCACGGTTTTTATTGGCTACGTAGTTAATAGGACCTCCATCGCAATTTTCACGAAATGAGTTCTTTTTGCATTTATTTTGTTTATTCTAATATATATGAAATTCATCGTGGAGAAACTAAGTCAGACAAGATGTATGATCAGTCTCCAAAAATTTTGATACCACCCGGCAAATTTGGAAAGTTAAAACATGAATATTAAAAGGAGTGTCTGGCCCATTTGCTATAGCATTTTTAAGACGCTCCCAAGTTTTCTTAGTATTTTGAGTGAGCTTTGTTAGTTAAATGAACGAAACCATAGAGTACTTTTCGTTGATTTAGCATTTATTTATTTTTCCAAACTTTCCTTGGGTTTAAAATAATTTTTTTATTTATTAAAAATTTTTCACAAGGCAGTTAAAGTTTGTTGAGATCGTACAGCTCTTTGCTCTGTAATCTTGAATTGCAACAACACCACAAGGTACGTAGCCATGAACGATATGTTCTGCGGTTTAAAGAAATTTTTAATGACGGTATAAACTACTTCAAATTTCTTACGTAGTACATACCGATGTTATCAATTCCCGATTAATGTTAGCATAACCATCTAAATTCATAATGGGTGGATTTTTGGCTATTGCAACCAAAAACATTTCCACTTCTTTTTGCGTAGCACTATCTACTGCGGTTAGATTAACGTTTAGCAATTTGGTTTGAAAATCTAATCCCACACTTTGTGAAGCGTAGTGGGCTTCATTGCAGATGATATATAGCAAAGTCATGCAATATAAGACTATGACAAAAAGTCCAACTTCTTTATAAGTGGCGCCATGGTCAATGATTTCACTAAACGAACCATAAGTGGCGACGATTGTGGTAAAAAACACCACCAAACAATACATACCATACATATTGGAATAAGCTCGCCCTAAAATTTTAAGAAAATTTAAAAATATGTTTTTTAAATTATTAATCCGAAAAGTTTACCCAATTGCTGCATCATATGGCTTAAATCCACCCACAGATGACGATATTCGGTTAACTTTTGGGCAGGTTTATCACCCTTTAGTGTCGTTTGGAGAGAATCTGATAAGGCGCGACTGGCGGTGCCGAAAGCGTTACAATTAATGTACCTGTAAATTACGTAATTTTTTTTTTAAATTTTAATTTCAATTTTCTTCAAAACTTACCACAGGCTGCAGAAACAATTTAACATGGCTATAATTGGATAATAAGCCAAGGTGTACCATAATTCAAAATCGGGTTGTAAGAAATATTGCGATAAATTAATTACTATACTCAGCACCCAAGAAAAAATACACAGACCCCAAGTCAAAGGGTAAAGATTAGGGAAAACTATAGGCGTGCCGGTAACTTTCAGAAATTTCAATTGATAATTAGTCCACATGTTTTTAAATATCGCTACTTGGGGACCATGCCTCCAACTAGCCACTGGTAAAAGGAAATTCGTAAACAACAAACTTATGAAAATCACGTTGTAAATAGCTTCATCGAAACGCTTATCTGAATTGGTAACGAATTTATTAACTCTTTCCCGCAATACCAACACCACAAGAGTTGTCTGTACGGCAAATACCACACAGGCCCACATTACTTGCTTTGAAGTCCATGAATAGCCCGTTCGCGGTAAATTCGTTTTCGGCGGACTACGATGTATAGGCATAACACCCATTATTTGAAATAACACTAACAGAGACTTTGTGGTGTGATAAAATGAATCATGCTTATCTAGTAATTCCGGGTCATCAATAGTTTCTTGTTTGCGTACATAGTAATCCGTCAAATTGCCAGCGTCCGTACGAGCCAATATATTCATTTTTTCACGATAACGTATCTCATCTTGGAGAAATTGCTTTTGATTTGGGTTAAGGACGGGAACAACTTTCGATGGAGAGGTTCTTCCTATAGCCGCTGCCCAAAAGGCCATCGTTCGTACTAAAGACTAGTTAGTTGTTAAATGCAAAATGAAAATAATTTCAACGTAAGCCATGACCTGTCTTATTCGTACGCTTTCTTATTATTATTGACTTATTATTTCCTTTTGCTCCTAATTGTATTTATTTATGGGAAATAATATTTAGTTTGCTGCAAAACACTTCACCTCCTTTGCCTGACAGAAGTGGAAGTTTTCAAACGAAAATTTTTCTTATAAAAAGCACAACCGCCCATTGAGATATGTAATAAACAAAATAAGAACGGAGAAGGAAATTTTATTGACTTTACCAACTTCACATCGATAAAGCTTTTAAAAATTTACAACGTTCGCTTTGTGAAATGGTAATAAAAACAAATACATTTTATATGTTTTGTTGCGGATATTATAAGTCATTCGACATGCATTTTTAATTAATTAATTTACGTCATTTGTAGCGCTTAAGGTAGCTAACCAGTTATGAGCAAAGTTTTATCAAAAACGCACGCATAATCTCATTGGTAAATTCCGGAATATTCATACAGCTTTTATCGATCAATAAAAGTGAGTCGATCACGATAATTTGGAAAGATTAGTCGAACTAGAAAATTGGAAATCAAATATCCAAAGTATTTATTCCGCAAGGTCTCAACTTAAACTACTGGTACGTGAAATACGTTCTTCATACTGTAAATCATATTTTCTGCTTGCATTAAGTTCAGAACGACGGATTGCAAACAATCTTTAGATAAACTTTTTGGAAAGAAATTATTTTCAGGAATTCCTTGTTAACAACGCTTCAACACTCTTCTTTGATTTTTGTCTGCGGCTATTATAGTTCAAAAGTGCTTGTGTTCGCTAAATTCTCTGCTTACAAAACTTTTTTTATTTTTTTACCAGTTAAATTCCGCAGGAACTCGAAAGAAATTGTGAGTTTTTTGTGAAACGCCACACTCGTTATTTTTCGATGTCCCAGATAAAGCGTCAAATACCTGTTTTTGGAGTTATCGCTTTACTCTTATGCTTGCTGCTTACTTGAACAGGTTATACCTCTCGGAATAGTATAATGATTTCTCGATTTAGATTTCATATAAAAAAAATATTTTCAGCAACATATTCATTGAAAGCAAAAATGCATTGGGTCAAAAAACAAATTTTCAAAGGCTTTTGGGAGAAAATTGATACTGTAAGGTCTACGAGCCTCAAGAAAAACTGTATTTCCTGATACCCGTTTGCTGTCCTATTCGGAAATATACTAAGAAAACTTTTCGAAACATACCTGAAACATTATCACTTTTATTAAATCTGAGCGAACACACGATATGAAAGGCCCTTAGGCGCCTTTAGAAACTTTGGCTTACTTTTGAGAGTTTACTTCTATGATATGTTCATGAGCTTGTCATGATTGATGGACAATAAACTTATAATTGATTAATTGCGATCGAGATGATTTCATTTCCTTACCCTTATTTATTTAGTGTATATGTGGTGTAGACAATTCATCATTTACAACAGGCGTACAAATGAGTATGAGGAGGGACCTTTTTTAGTTGTTCTATTATTTTTACCTTGAAAAAAATTACTCGAACAAACAATTTGCTATTTTTATACCCACTGCCGTAAGATGGGTGGTCATTTTGTTTTTTTCCATAATGTACCACCCAAAACAACATCCAAAAGGAAGCTTCAAAGACCCTAGAAAGTGTATATATATATATGTATGTATCTATATATATATGTATATATATGTATATATATATACTCTATCAGCGTGAAATTCTGTGTTGATCTAGCCATGTCCCGCCGTCTGTGTGGTTGTGTGTCTATATAGTGTGCGTTTTTGAGACTCCCCTGGTCGCAAAAATGAAGATATCGACTTTAAATGTAGTAGAAACATTGGAAGGTTTTGCACGCAGGTTCATATTGAAATGGGCTAAATCGGTCAGAACTAAAGCGCACAGTGCATCGTAAACTAAACGCAACTCCCCTTTTTTTAATAAAAATTTTTGGATTTTTGCTCGTTACTCGGAAATTATAAAAGTTAGAAGGCTGAAATTTTCCACATTCACTTTCCAAAACACTCTACTCTTTATGTGAAAAGTGGAAAACATCCGCCATTCCCAGACAAAGTTACAAGTGATTAAAATTTGTTTTTTTCACTTTTTTGAGGTCTTGTGCTTATTTGTTATAAGGCAAACAAGATCGAATGTTTAAAATTATTTTGTACACTCATTGAATGAAGATATATTATCAGCTTGAAAATGGGTTAATTTTAAAATTAATATTGTAGACACAGCGATTACTTTTTTCTTAACAGCGACATGGGTACCAAATAAAAGAACTTGGAGAGTAGAAAGCGAAAAACATAGTGATGGGTATACGAGATTCGACATACGCCGAATATAACTTTCTTACTTGTTTAATATTGAGCATAACTTATAAGAAGTCCTACGAGTTAAAATGCGAAAAAAGACAAGTGGTGGGTTCTAATAAAGACCGCAGGTTAGGTTTCCTTTAGAAAGGGAGGATTAAATTTTCGAGAATGTCAGACACTACAATGTACTTTACATTCCCTTAAAAAAACCCCTCTAATCGCTTTCTTGTTTGCCTAACAGATATAATTATTCATCCATTAGTTAAAACAACTTTCCTTCTAAGAACCCACTAAGCCAGATTTCTAGGCAGAAGCGTAGTCACGGACATACTCTTATCTCCTTTTGAATAAATTTACAACCTGTTTATTAATAGTCAAGTTTTTTTAATTTATTTAAGATTATATTTAGACTAGACGTAGCAAGTTGAAGTAATTAAAGTTTTACTTTGTACAATGATCTCTGCAGATCAGATCGCCGAAGACCGTAATCATATGAATATTTAAGCAAACACGTCTCGTTGTTTCTAAAATTTTCTTACCATCCTTTCAAATGTACGTAAGCTTATAGGGCCACTCTAAGGCTTTAGAGCCACTGGACTTTTTCGAATTTCTCATGTTTTGCAATGAATACTCTAATTTGCATAGGCTCAATTGTGATTTGAAATCGAATATTCAGTACTCTAAGTTCTCTTGCAAAGGCTCATACTTTACTTTATAGTATTCTAATTTTTCCATACCGAATTCGAGGCGTTGAAATTTGAGACGTTTCATTTTCCTTAGAAGCTTGTTGCCGTCTAAGGCAGTTTCATGTACCTCTTTAGCGTGCAACAATTTTAGAAATCGTTTTAAATGAATGCTAATTGGCAAACTGTTTCCCTGGCAGAACACGTATTCCAAGCTAAAGAGACTCTTAGTTTTCGTGAAAGATTCCGAACTAATCACTTGTATGTCTTCGGGTAACGAAGGGCAGTCGATTATTTGCTTGTTGTCACTTTTTTGAAAAGGTCGACTAAAGAATAACCAGACAGGTAAATACATTTCTTTTCGAGCTAAAACTTCTTCATTTTCAGCGTCATCGCTCACTTGATTAAGTGTCAGTCCGTGTTTACCACGTACTATTAGACCTTTTCCGTTTATAATTTCACCTAGGTTTTTATCCACCTTGTTATCCATTCTTGTCATTATCTCCTACTAGTCTTCTGTGTATCATTAGCTCACAAACGCCGCCGTGCATACTTGCACCACCTTGAGGGCGACCGGTTATAGAATAATAACAACCAGCGATTTTCTGCGCAATATTAGGTTCAAAGCCTTCACGGGCATCACGTTTACGTAGAAGCATTTCTCGACCATTTCAATCGGTAAAGAATATGTTTTCATTTTGAATTTCTGGTCGAAATATTGTAACTACTTCATTGCTTATACCATCATCAACTGATACAGGACCAAGTAGCCATTCAAATTCTACTCGATACTCATCTTCATAGGTACGGATCACTTGAGATGCCCAATCATTGATGGACTTCTTTTACCTTCATAAATAGTAAGATTTACTTTCTCTGTGGTTGCCCTAGCCAACCAGCTCTTTATATTTTATGAACATAATGTTTAAATATTTTTTTTTTTTTTGCCTTTTGTTTTTACTTTTCATAAACCGTACACAATGCTGAATCAAATGGGTTTGTGTCAAGGAGGTGTGATCGTTATTAATATACATTAAGTTGATGAAAATAAATTTAAGAAAAAGTAATATTCAATGATTTCTAAATAATTTTCACTGTTAAGGATTTAACGATAGGGACGCAGAAGTAGTCATTAGCTCGTACATAAAGACAGACCATTGAGACCATTGAGACCATTATTATTTGTGTTAAAAATTATTGTCCTTGCTAACGAAGGCATTAGAAAAGAAATTTGTTTGTTATAGTTTTTTAAGCATTCGCCAATACCTCATTTAAACTTATCTTATTGTAATATTGTGGTGAATAGTAAAGTCAACTTTCTTTAGGCCTACTATGATAATGTGAACAAGCTTCAAGTTGATAAACCAGTCACCACCAACGAATTCCAAACGTCCGTTATTTACCAACTCACGTACAATATCTTGCATACTCACTGGTTTGTTGATTAAACCACATAGCGAAATGACATACTTCTACGTAAATGTATCTAAAATGAAAATCAATTTTAGTTTTGTAACGAGTTTCCTTAGGCGGGGTATGACTCAGTCAATCCAGGATTCGTTGCAAGAAAATTTTAGAAAAATATTCAGGACCTTCGGGGGGAATGGTGTATAATTTCCAGGCTTTATTGGTTCCACTTTACTGGACGGAAGTACAGCAATGTTTGTAGAAAATGGCTGGGGCAAGGAACCAGCGAGGTGACCGACTTGTCGCGTTATTACCGTTTTACTTTATTACTTATGACGTTAGGATTTTTGTTACGCTTTAAATATCGCGGGGCGCTGGAAGAAAGAACCGAAAACTTTGCCAGTGTCATAGCTGCCTAGGCCCGCCTGGTTGTCCCTGGTTGGTGGGTGAGTCCAGAAAAATAGTAAAAAAAAACGAACGTCTCTCAGTCCTTCAGGGATGGCGATTAATACTAACCAGCACATCCCCTATCCGTTGAGTCAACAAAAAAAACTCTTCGTACAGGTCATTTGTTAATCTGTCTGAGGGCACTTACCTAGACGGCTATGACACCGCTGTTCTTTTATAGCCTGAGTCTCGCTCGCTTGTCCTATTGCCAACAGGTTTTATGGGTTACAAATGCTTATGTGTA